GTATTTCTGTTATGCGCGATGTTGATATCAACTCCAGTGGCATCTCTCACTTTCCTAAAGAGATGGGAAGTGACATCACAACTCAGTGACAATCCCTTCCTCCTTTAACTCCTGGACAATTTTCCTGGCATTTTACTGTTGGAATTTCTCAGACTGTTGGAAATCCTGCCATTAATTCCTTCTATGGCAGAAGGTTGCTGCTCTGAGCCAAGAGAAAGGGCTTTTCTTTCCAGTCACTCTCAGATTAGACCAAAAGCTAGTGAAACTGGATCAAGCCAGACCCTGGGGATGACAAAGCATTTTGGCAGTAGCTTTTGCTCTATCAGCTAATACATATCACGCACCTGTTATGTGCTGGCACCTGCTCTGCCTTCTCCTACTAGAAGCATGTGACATTGCCTTGTAATATCAGAAACGACCTTGGACACCATCTGCAATTCTAGCGTTTCATGCAAAGTATGTCCCCAATGAATATAATCTTCTCATAAGGGAATAATACAGCTTGTTTGTGAGCTTACTAATGACTTCAGCCTAAATAAGCATTTTTAAAAAATAATCCTGAGATTAAAGCCTTTCAATTGTGCACATTCTTTAACAAGAAGAGAAAAAAATTGCTTTTAAAAAAGCTTTAATAATGCATAAGGTATCACAAAAAAGAAGCCAATTTTTAAAAAAAATCATTAAAAAAACACTTTAGGGCCCTTTCACCAACTCGTTAACAGAGACAAATGAAGATCTTCAACAAAGGGATATTGGAAATACTTGGCAATGCTTATTTATTTCTGCCAGCTAAAAACACTTATCCGTTAATGTACGAGTATTATTGTAAAAGGAGTGCACAGGGAGATGTCCCTAGTTACCCCGAGGACAGCGGAGGGAAGAAACCACGCAGCACAGTAGAGACCAGACGCTAGCGGTGTGCCGTGTAGCATGGGAACCCCCCACACCCCACAAGGGCACAGGTATGTGCATCACCTTAAGTGATACAATGACATCATTGTAGCATGCTGGCAGTGATAAAAAAGAATCAGACCCATGAGGTGTAATTAAATGGCATCCTGGAAAAGGAATATGGAAAGCTGTTTTCCTTCCACTTTCCTTTCCTTTCTCCATACTTCCTTCCCTCATTCTCTTCCTGTCCTATTTTCACGCAAAAAAAAAAAAAAAGACAGCAACCTATTTAGCACTATGCAAGTCATCCAAACTCTTCATTCCTGCTGCATAAGATGAGCCAGAGGATAAACGTGACAAGGGAGACCTGCCCCCTGCCACTCCGCCCTCCATCAGCCACGAAGCTTGTGCACCTCCAGACCACGCTCTGATGCTCTCTCCCTGCTCCCCACTCCCCATGTCTCCCTTCCCTGCCAGGGTGTGGTGTCACCTGTCCACCTTGCATTGTTCTTCCAGCCTTGGCTCAGGCACAGCCTCCTCCAGGAAGGCTTTCTGGTCTCCCCTCTTCTAGGCTGAGAGCAGTTAGCACTCCCTGTCTGGGTCCATCTCTGCTCTAGGAGAGTCAGCCCCTTGGGATGCAGACCTTGTGCAAGTGGTTGGTGTACTGAGCAATGGGTTCAGGCCTGATCCAACAGTGGCACTCCATACAAGTGTATTAATTGACCGAGGTCATTTTTGAAGCATTAACAGTGTTTCTCTCTTGGAGAGATGACAATCCTGAGAAATTTGTTATGAAACCCATGATGTTCTTAAGATTTTACGTTGTTGAGGGAGAACAATTCCAACCACGTGGCATTTCTGTTCACCAGACTAGGTTAGCAGAGAGCCAGGGAGGAATCAACAAAGAGGAGAAAACAGTCTAAGGTTGGCCATTGCACAGAACTGACTTGTTAATGAGTTGACTTGCTAAACCACTAAAAGCAAGCTCTACGTTCATTGTCTTTTTTTAGAAAAGTGAGTTGATCAAGGGTTCAGATGAGTCGACTGGCCAAATGTTTTGATGCATGTAGAGGAATTTTGTGTGCTCTCTAGAAAAATGTTGATATAGTTGCTTAAAGCTTGCAACAGTAGTAGACAAACTTTCTAGTTTTAAAGCAACCTTAAGCATCTATAAAATCAAAGTCCTGAATATTACTTCCTCGATTCAAAACAATTTACAGTTTCATGATGGAAAACAACAATCTCTCTAAGCATTAGGGACATTCCCAAACTGCAGCTGATGTGCTGCTCCAGTGGTGCCTTGGAGAACACAATGAGGCGCTGGGTGTGGAGGTGCAAACACACAGGGAAGACACAGGCAGACGTCGTTCCTTGGCCCAGGCTGCTGGTTCCTGTGGAACCTGAGATGACCAAGCAAAAACCCAAGTGCCCAGTGCGCGATCGCCCTCACTAGCTTAAAAAATTGACATTCCTGTACTCATCCCTATCTGCGGTTCAATAAATGGGATGCAAATGTTCGCCCTTGCATAGGAGAGAGGGGAAGGGTGGGCAAAGAGTTCCTGGAACTTGCTGAGATGCCTGTCTGTCACCACCCTTACTGGGCGTGTAACAAGACAACCTGTTTATTGATCACCTTGTCAACCATACATAAGACAAACAGGTGATATATAATAGAGGAAGAAGGTGGAACCCCTTATCAGTGAGTGGCAAGTCACCGGGACACGCGGACATTGCCTGATTTGAAGAATAAGTTTAGGGATAAGCAAGAGTTGGGGAGTTTCCTCAGATTTGCTGCCATTACTGAGACTCTGAACACATAATTTATTACTAATGCTCAACA